TTACAGATAGCCTGGGATTACACAAGATTTGTATTTTAAAAACAACCAGTTCGAAGGGAGCATAATTTGCTTTTTGGGTTAAAATTATTTCTTAATATGAAATTCGAATGGTATGACAATTAGATATTAGACTGTACAGAAATTGAAATCTACATGCTAATACACACTATATTCACATAGTCACGTAATAGTGATGTTGTTAACATTAACAATTTGAGAATAAAGTATAACAATAATAATAATTTGCACGGTTTGATGTGATACGAGCTAACCGAACTTTAGATTAAATCACAATTGGTAGCACTATTTATTGTAATGGTTTTTTCCACAGTTGGTCAAAACAAATGTGGCAGACTTGTTACTTACTTGTTCAGTTGACAATATCCGGTGAAAATTCTTATTTGGGTCATAGATTCCAAGACGTAGGTTAGAATCTGTGTTTGCGAAGTACATAGGGTGACCATATTTTAGTTTTTCAAAAAGAGGACAGTAGGGGGCGGGGCTTCATCTAACAGTATATGTAGCAAGTTTTTTTGTTTGTTTGTTTGCTTATTTTATTTTTATAATAAATAAAAAGAAAATAAGTAGAAAAAATAGAGAATGCTAGTATTAGAGGCTCTTCTTTCTTTATAAATAAAACAAGTAGTTAGAATAGAAATAGAATAGAGAGTGCAAATGTTATAGGGTCAAGTTTTTTAATAAAAAAACAACAAGGAGGTCAAATTAGAAGTAGCATTAGAATAGAGAGTGCTAAAGTTAGAGGGTCAAATGAAGATGAAAGAGATGTGTTTTCAGCCGTTTCTTGAAAATATTAAGGACTCAGCTGCTTGGATTGAGTTGGGCAGGTCATTCCACCAGGAGGGAACAGTTAATGTGGAAGTCCATGAAAGTTTTATAATGCAATAAAATATTTTTTATTAGGTTTTAATAAGGTAGAATGCAAAATGTTTCAATACAAGCATTTCAGTCAAATGTAATTTATGCAATATATCAAACCTTTAACCCACTTGGGAAAATCAACCCATGGCAACAGTTTAAAAGTATCCCAGTTCTGTGGAAAAAACGCGGACTTGGCAACCCTGCATCCAACAAGAGCTGCAGGAGTCAGATTGGACTGATTTGACAGGTCAGAATAAGGAGAGATGACTGACAAGCGCGAAATAGAAAGTGAAAGTAAACAATGCTAATGCTCATTCAAAAATATTTAAATACACCGCATCCTGAGAGCTGCTCCCTGATACGCCAAAATTATATACAATATTAGAATGTTTAAAAGAGTGGACATGAAAATCGTGGGAGCGAAACACATGTTGCGGGAGCAGGCGGCAATGGTCAAAGATTCAGCGGGAGCGAGATTGAGAAAACAGCCGAATCCCGGACATTTTCGTTGGACGCATTTTTGTTGGTCCAAAAAGAGGACATGTCTGGGGAAAAGAGGACATACGGTCACCCTAGAAGTACAGTAAATATCCACACCGCATTCACCTCAAAACATTAGATTCATCAGCACTGGAGCCCTGCCAGCGCACAACCCACGCAAGCTAGATAATTCCACACACAGCTGCAATTGCAGGTTTTCAAACAGAGATGGCGACAAAGAGGCAAAATTTACGGACTGCAGCTTTCATTTTACAGGATAGATTATGATAAATTACAGACTATAAATGGCTTTAAGATTCTAATACTGTGTTTTTATGCTAGTTTTGTATGCAATATAGCGTCAATACAAAACAACAAATGGTGACTCAAAAAATAGAGGCTAGTAAAACTATAACATACTAAAATCAATGAGCATCTATCTATCTATCTATCTATCTATCTATCTATCTATCTATCTATCTATCTTCTGACAAGTCTGTCGGTCTGTCTGTTGATCTATCTATTTGACTCAACATATGCTGACAAATATGCTGAGGATATTCCCTCTCCAGTCTCCGTTGCACAGCGTTTGAGAGAGATTCTGGCACTCCTATGATGCAGACGCGTAGAAGACTGTGTGTGTGCGCGCGCGCGTGTACACGGTCACGGGGAATCCGTGGGAGCGCAAACTCCGCCCACGCCATGAACACCTGCAGCGGCGAGTGCGGTGCGTGGGGGGGGGTTTGCCTCGCGCTCGGAGCTCGGGCTGCACTGAACACACCACTACAAATCTGCTCTTGACCATGTAACAGGAGAGCAGTTCACCGGATCTTCACGAGCGAGTGCTGCGGCAGGTAGGACATCAGTTTATATCCTGGTGTGTTTCATGAATCATGTGTGCGGGTTTACGGTGAGATGGACGCAGGAACTTCAGTGTTTCCATTCTGTCTCCTCTTCGACTGTCTGTATCTTCTTTATACATCGGTTACATCATCTTAAAACAGTATAAACCCCACAAAAGTCAGTGTCAGAGGATATTCCCTGACAAACAAGCCTGTTTTATGCATTACATATAATGTCGTCTCACCAGGTGTTTGAACAGGTGCAATGCAGCAGAGCGTTTTTGTATTTATCGAGGTAGCCTGAAGTCGTTTTCATATTTTTGTATAGGCAATTTTTGTTAAAGTTCAGAAGTGTCACCACAGTTCAATCGGTGGTGTTTATTTCACATATTATATGAGACTAGTTGTCCCACTTTTCACTCCAGTGAATATTAATAGGGTAGGTTTATTTTCGAAAGTCAATTTCTGTGTAGATAAATGCCTTAAAGTATTGGGGACACAAAATGTTTTATGTGTCCTATTGTTTAGCCTCTTGTCACATGCTGCTGATAACTGTTTAAGATGTGATGTGTCATCTTTTGTGTACTATGAGCAACAACATACAGTAAATCACTTCTGTTTTCCGAAGCATTAGCTATTTATACCCAAGTGAGACATAATCAAGATAAGAGGCAGCTGAAGGAACAGCACATCAGTTTGTTTGACTGACCAGGGGAACACTGTATTACTCAGATGTTCATACTATTTCATAGCTCAGGACACTTATTTGTTTAATTTAAGTAGGCTATTAGATGTTCCTTCTAAAACTCCTTAGAAGAAATAAAAGTAGACGCTAACAATTGTTAACATACAGTATGAGTATAGAGCTATAAATAGCATATTTCAGGTAATTTGAAAAAAAAGTGTTTTTTTTCTTCGAGTTTATATTGAAATGTATGTCCTTATAGCATGTTTTGGCAGTTTTTGACGTTGAGATTTTTTCTGTAATTGGAGAAGTGAGATTACTGGGTGAAGTAAAAACCTGAGAAGGAGGAGACTAAAGCAAATGTTTTAATTTTTCTTTAGGCCTATTTAATATTAAATTTAATATATTACATATTACACTTATGCATTTAGAAGATGTTTTTGCAGATATGAAAATGCAACATTGAAAGTATTAAAACCATAAAATAAAAAAACAAACATAAAACAAATGGACCCATGTGAACACAGTTTATGTATTTGATTTGCAATTTCACCAACCGTAAAATCACTGAGTGTCCATAATATTTGTAATAGAGCGACTAATACTGGTCACACATATCTTATAGGACAGAGAACTATTTACTATTAATTATACAGACAGGAAACATTAGTGGCAACCAGACCATAAAAATTGATTATTTCATTAAAAAGACAGAAAGCAAACCCATCAATATTTTAAGGTCTTTTTGTAATTTGAATGTGTACTGGTCCTGAAAAAAGAGAATGTGGGTTGAAAAGTTTAATCAGCATCACAGATACATGGACAACATAAAGTGTTCTACCATATGATTAACTGCACAGATTGTTCTACTGATGTCCTTTTTAACACTCACAGAAAGATTTTTCTCTCCATAACTGGCATTGATTTGTATGTATGTTTGTTTAAATAAGGTTTTAAAGATTCAAAGGGGCACAGCTGGAGAGAAGGGAAACAGTACAGTACATTGCATGTCGTTAGTCCATTAGTCCATGGTCATTTAGCAGACGCTTTTATCCAAAGCGACTTACAAATGAGGGCAATAGATGCAATCAAAACTAACAAAAGAGCAACAATATGTAATGTAAGTGCAAATGACAAGTCTCGGTTAGCCCGCAGTACACGTAGCAAGGTATTTGTTTTTTTAGAGAGAGATATATATATATATATACACACACACACACACACACAAAAAGAAAAAACAAGTAGATAGAATAGAAAAAAGGAAGCTAGTGTTAGTTTTTTTTAATAATAAAAGATAAATAGATAAAGTAGAATTAAAATAGAATAGAAAGTGCTAGAGTTAGAGGTTTAAATAAAGATGGAACAGATGTGTTTTTGTGTTTTTTTGAAGATGGCTAAGGACTCAGCTGCTCGGATTGAGTTGGGCAGGTCATTCCACCAGGAGGGAACAGTTAAAGGTGCAATATGTGATTGTCTTCAGAATTTTTTTTTTGTTATGCTGGTTGAAAGTCTCTTCACATCCCGATAGCAATCATTAAGTTAAGTGGTCTAAATGTATTTATCTGTATTTATATATTCTGTGGAAGGCGTAATATATATATACACACACACACACACACACAAAAAGAAAAAACAAGTAGATAGAATAGAAAAAAGGAAGCTAGTGTTAGTTTTTTTTTATAATAAAAGATAAATAGATAAAGTAGAATTAAAATAGAATAGAAAGTGCTAGAGTTAGAGGTTTAAATAAAGATGGAACAGATGTGTTTTTAGTCTTTCTTGAAGATGGCTAAGGACTCAGCTGCTCGGATTGAGTTGGGCAGGTCATTCCACCAGGAGGGAACAGTTAAAGGTGCAATATGTGATTGTCTTCAGAATTTTTTTTTTGTTATGCTGGTTGAAAGTCTCTTCACATCCCGATAGCAATCATTAAGTTAAGTGGTCTAAATGTATTTATCTGTATTTATATATTCTGTGGAAGGCGTAGGACCAAGAAATGTTCGTCCAATCAAAATGCTCGGTTCAAGCGTTTTAATTGGCTTTCCTACCTGCCTGTCAACGTATGTATTAGCATATCTCTGCGCACCCGGCTCGTGCAGACAGGATACGTCATCAGCGCGTTCACGCACGCTGTGCAGACAGAGCGAGAATGGCAGACAAACATTAACAACACGATCTTCCTTCCTGGTATTGTAGTACATTTAAAGTTTTCTCACTGGTGAATGACACATGATGTAGGCAGCCCAGCGGTTCAGAAGTATTCCAGTCCCTGTGCATGTGTTTTGCATGTCTTGTTTAGTTAACACACCCGATTCAGATAACCAGCTCGTTAGAAGAGAGTGCATGAACTGTGTTCCGATTGACATGCTCCCTACACAGTGTTCATTGCTCCCTACTCCCTGAGCAGGGGAAATCCGTTGAAGTTTATTTAACTTCGGAACATGGGCTGGAATTGGGAACCGCTGATGTAGCCTATTGTAGTAATGTTGTCTCTGGTATTCTGGTCTGTGAGTGAGCGTATATGCGATCAGGGGGCGTGGCTTTGGACGGCGATTGCAGGGAGGGTGGGACGTTCGCTTTCAGTGCTATCAGGCTAAAGTTAGCATTTTCCAAGATCTCCTACTGCACCTTTAATGAAAAAGTCAGTGAAAGTGATTTTGTGCCTCTTTGAGATGGCACAATAATGTGTCGGTCGCTTGCAGAACTCAAGCTTCTAGAGGGCACATAACTCTGAAGTAATGAATTTAGGTAAAGGGGTGCAGAGCCAGTGGTGGTTTTGTATGCAAACATTAATGCCTTGAATTTTATGCGAGCAGCTACTGGTAGCCAGTGCAAATTGATGAACAGAGGTGTGACTTGCATTCTTTTTGGCTCATTAAAGATTAATCTTGCAGTGACATTTTGGATTAATTGCAGAGGTTTGACAGAAGTGGCTAAAAGACCTGCCAAGAGAGCATTGCAATAGTCCAGCCTGGATAGAACAAGAGCTTGAACAAGGAGTTGTGTTACATGTTCTGAAAGAAAGGGCCTGATCTTCCTAATGTTGTATAAAGCAAATCTACAGGAAGTT